CAATGAGGATTATGCCCTAATTGCGGTGGAGTTTGAGCAACAGCAATAGAGGAGGGGAGGAAATGATTAGGACAGAGCCACAGTAAAAAAGCGGACATCCAGCTGAGCTCTGGAAGGCTGAATTACTGAATGGGGGAAAAAAAAACAAAGCATTTTTTTCTTCAGTGGTATTTTTGAAAGAGGGAATGGAGAAGGTGGGTGGGCAGAGCATCTTTCTATGATTCTGTTTTGGTTTGTTACCGATGTCAATAGTGCCGATGCGTTTGGTTCCAAGTTTGATGAATTTATGATCATGTTCACACGCATCTCTTTTAATTCTGAAATTAAAGAAAATACGTCTGGCTGTGGTTTTCATTTTCAGTCATTGAACTGAAAAGATGTGGCCTCTATTTCCCAGAGCTCAGGACACTAACATGTCCATGCCAGGTGTACTGCAAAATTGCACTAAGTTGGAGGTGTGCGTCTGTGTGTGTATAGAGATTGGGTTTGTTTTGAGCACAGCCTCGAAAAGAGCTGGGCAGTGTCCAGTGCTGACCTCAGCCTTGGGTGGGCTACATTAATGTCTTTATTCTGCTTGGCAGTGTGGGAAAAAGAATTCTAAAATAAATGCAAGAATGCGTGGGGTGCGATTGCCTGAAAGGGCCCTCGGTCGCCTTTGTGCTTTATCAGCTGCTTGCAAGGGGCCTGTGTGATGCCGAGAGCCTCCGGGGCCTTGCTGGGTGGCACGTGGCTGGTGCCGCGGGGACGGGCCCCACGGAGCCGTTGCGGTGGGGAAGCATCCGCCGAAGCTGCACCGCAGCTGGAAGTAATTGCGAGTCTGCTTTCATGGGAAGGAAGGAGGGCCTGGTAGGTGTCATTTCATGCTCAAAATGTGAGGATAAGTCATGAATTCCCGTCTCACTGCTGTCGATGTATAGGGGAGTCCTGGGCTTAGGATTTGGGTCCTTTTTCAGAATATCACTGGACAGAGGAAAGAACAAACATATTATGGTGGAAGGTGAGTTTCAAGTTTGTCCATTTTCTTAATAGATTATGTTCATGAAATGAAAGTTGAAAAATGTTTCATAGATTGCAAGAAGGGAAATAATGTTGTCTTCTACTCTCACGATGCCCAGTTCCATGTTCTGTGCTTTGATGGGACCAATTGCTTTGGAAAAAAAACAGGAGGTGCAATAAGTGCTCTCACTCCTTCTGTAAGAACAGACTTCCCTTTCTCTAAGACCTGTGGAAGAGCTCCCATCTTGCCTATTATGCAGGTAGAGTAGCCGCGTACTTGACTCTACTGGTTTCACAGCATCACAGGTTGGCTGAGGTCGGAAGGGGCCTCTAGAGATCATCTAGTCCAACCCCCCTGCTCCAGCAGGGACACCCAGAGCACGGGGCACAGGGCGGCATCCAGGCGTGTTTTGAAGACCTCCAGAGAAGGAGACTCCACAGCCTCCCTGGGCAGCCTGTGCCAGGGCTCTGTCACCCTCACAAGGGAAGAAGTTCTTCCTTACATGGAGATGGAACTTCGTGTGTTTTGCTCTTGTCTCTTTCACTCTTAATAGGCTTCTGCTCCAGGCTTTTGAGTCTCTCAATTTGTCTTCTCTACCCGTGAACTGGTTACTTCACCAATTTTGACAGAGGAATTCTTGAACTCCGAGGCAAGCAGGCTGCTGCGGTGGTGACGCCTTGACGGAGGGGCTGGTGGCAGAGCAGCCCCACGTCCATCAGAGCTTGTGGGGACGCAGTGGCAGCCTGCCTACTGGAGAGCCCCTCGTGCCTGTGCTGGCCTAGCTCAGTGGGAAACCCCAGGCGAGCAGAGCAGAAACAGCAGCTCCAACAGACCCTGGCATCTGCAGGTTGTATTAGGGTGGTAGAAAAGCCCCTCGAGGCAGGAGGTGGTGGGAGCCGCTCCGAGAGGGCAGGCGCGTCCGTCTGGCCCTTTTGAGACGTCTTGAAAAAACGTGGGCTGCCTTGGCTGCGTGCAAACGAACGGCTCTTGCGTAAGCTCCATTCCTCCAGATGTTTTTTATTGCCACTGTAGGGAGTTAAACAGTACCAGGATTAAGCAGATTCTTATGTGCATTCCCTGTCCATCATAGATTCCAGCAAGACAGGTTTTAGGCTCTGTGGTGGGTGTGTATGGTTGGCCCTTCTGAGTCCTGCAGCTCAAGGTCCGTTCTGAGCGTTGGGGAAACTGGAGAGGCCAAAGCACCAGTATTGGTGCTGGAGGGGACTCACTTTGCCGGGGGGAGGCAGGAAGGAGGTAAGTGCGTGTTTAGACCTGTTTCAAGGAAAGCTGCAAAGAGGCATTGGCGCTTGTAGCCATGGCCATCTTAACACATAGCTGTCTTTCTTTTTTTATTATTTTTTCCCCTTTTAAAAAGAGCAAATTCAATCTGAGTAAAAATTGGCCTTTCCTCACAGATACTCAGCTGTGTTTCTCACAGCTTCCAGGGTTGCTAGCTGTGCAGTTGCCATGGCCTCCATGGCAGACAAACTTCAATACTCCATATAGGGAACTCACTGGAAATGGGCATTTCCCGCCTTTCTCTTTTTCCTTTTTTTTTTGGGGGGGGCAGCTTTTTTACAGCCACTGTGAATTCATCCAAAAGTAGCCAAGAGCTTGGAAGGCCGCTCTGTGTTTCTTCCTCCCTTTGCAGGTCAACATCTCTGGGTTCCTCTTCTCAGTAAGCACTGCTCATGTTCACACGTGTTTGCAAGGAGCCCAAGAGTCAACAGATTGGTAGGACTGACCCTGACAGAACGGGGGTGGAGATTTGTTGTTGTTGTTATTTCAGAGCTTGGTAGGTAACAGATTTGCCTCTTGCATGGAAGTGAGAGGCCATGTGAAGAAACCTGTTGGTGGAGGAACACATTAAAACCAGGGTAAGCTTCTGCTGGTTGTGTCGCGTGCTGTTGTGCTCAGTGAGGCACACTGACTTTTGAAGGGCCGCCAGCTGTTGCCTCTCGTTAGGTAGGATGTTTTAGGTACTGGATTGAATTTACTTTCATCCTGTGCAGGCCTGATGGTGGTCTGCTTTCACACACTTCTGGTTTGCAGGGCTAGTGCCAAACTACTGAATTATTAAGCTAGATTTTTAATAGAAACCCCTATGTAGGCTTAAATTGTTTCCACTCTATTTGGAGTTTCCTGCTCCAATGGTTTTTATTTTGTTTCATGCCTGAAAGCCTAGAGGGAGGAATTCACAGGAAAGCACGGCGGCCAAAGGGAAGATTTAAGCCTGAAAGAACAGAAAGTCTAGAAGAAATAAGAGGTTAATTGATACTGTATCCACCTCTGATGGAGGTGATGGAAAAAAAACCCACTTCCTAATGCTCATGTCAGTTTAGCAGAAACTTGGGTATTTGTTTTTAATGCATTTCGGAACATACACTTCTCAATAAAGTGTTTTCTTCGTGACTGTTTCTTCATCTACCCCTTCCCTGGAGCTCCAAAGGAACTCCCCCCTTTCATTCCGGGTGTTGTTCCTGTCCTGCTGGCGGCAGCATCAGGGTTCACCCCATAACAAGGAAACTCTTAGCCCCCACCGGGGCAAGCCTCTTGTGGGATCTCATCCCTTTTCCAGGGAATCCTCATCCATACAGAGCCCAGCCACTGCGCACTGGGCCACAATTACACGTGTGGGTGTGGGCTGTGTGTAGAAGTGCACAGTTACCTCTGGTCAGCGCAGTCTGCCGTGTTAAATCCCTGATGATGGGTGCTGTCACCCTCCCCCAGCCCTCCACATGGGTTGACTCTGCTCCGGAGTTACAACTGGTGATATTGGTTGGACCTGAACTTTCCTTTTCTGATGAGGGGCTGCTTCATCGTGAGCCTCCGTCCTGTGGTGCGGTGAGTGGTGGGAGAGATGTGGAAACATGCTGACGAAAACAAGAGGTAGGGGGCTAAAACTACCCCACATGCGGTGGTTTCTGCCCTTCCCATGACTGCCACTTCCCTGGGCACGTGCTGGGTCACCGCTAGTGCTGAAGCCAGAGCTGGTCCCCAGTGCTCATCCTGCCTCGGATGAGGAGAATCTGTTTCGTGGGCACTGTGTGCTTGGAGTCAGACACGTGCCTGCACTAGGGCTGGAATAGCCAACACAATTGTAGTAATGGGGTTTTAGATGTTTTTTCTTTGGGGGGATTTTGGAATAAATCTGTTACAGAGTGCTGAGAATGAAAGGTTATGGTGGGTCTTCCAATGTGCAGAGCAATTTAAGCAGTAATGACTGAGCTTGTTTTGGATGCAGTATTAACAGCTATCAGCTGAATCCGTGGAGTTTACAGATACAGCAGAACAGAAAGTTAGGCTATGAATTACAGAAGTTGCCCTCATAGCTCTGTGGCAGGAATAGCAGGAATGGCAGGAACTGTGGTTCCTGTAATTGTAATAAGACTGCGTCTGTGTTTTGTTACTTACCATGTTTAATTGCATGAGTGATTTACTTAATGCTTCTCCTGGGGTCACTCATAACACTTTTATTTTTAGGATTCAGGGAAATTAGGGCCACTAGTATTGTGGTTTTTCAAGGCAGGCATTTCCCAGACAAGGAAGGCAGTAGCACCGGTAACTTAGCTGCCATGTAACCTGGCTAAGCCAGTGAAATTCACCCTGGCAGGGAAGGTGGAATTTAATGCTTTCAGGTGAACAATCTCCACTGAAAATGTACATGTTTAGGGAGAAGGCACCATTTCACTGGGTGTGGATACTCTCATGGTTTATTAGGAAATCTCTGGCAATGCTTGTTGGTATTAAATCCTGTAAAGAAAGAATTTGTAGGTCAGTACTCAGTGTATGGCTGTAGAGCTAGGTGGTCATACACCCTCCATGTCCAATAGCTATGAATTATGTCGTTTCATGCTCAGGACCAACTGGTCACGGGCCAGCAGAGGGGTTCCTGCGGGCTGCTATCACGCTTCATGGAAACTTGCAGGAAAGATACTGTGCTGAAAGGCTCCTGGTAACAGTTGGCCTAATGCAGCTCACTCTGTTTGTTGTTTTTAAACAGATGGATCTCTCTGTGGAAACTCTGTACAGCTTCATGCAGGAGCGCCAGAAGAGGTATGCCAAGTATGCAGAGCAGATCCAGAAGGTCAACGAGATGTCTGCCATCCTGCGCCGCATCCAGATGGGCATCGACCAGACTGTCCCCCTCATGGAGCGGCTGAACAGCATGCTGCCCGAGAGCGAGCGGCTCGAGCCCTTCAGCATGAAGCCCGAGCGGGAGCTGAAGGCCTAGCCGCGCCGTGCGGCCATGAACGGGCAGCTCCCTCGTGCCGACGCTTGGAGGAGGAAGCGACCGCTCTTGGGTCTCCCTCCTCCTGCCCCGCTGTCCCCTTCACCGTTGCCACCGCCTGTGCTGAAACAGTTGTCTCATTCCTCAAACTGGATCAGGTTTTGCAGACGAGGGGTTCTTTCATCTGATCTTTTGACTAGAAGAACGCAGAGGGGCTATGGGTGTGACTTGCCCTCTCGCGTGCTTTCTGTGCCGGTGGGGTTTAGGCAATTAGGCGGCTGGCAGATATTTCTGAGATCCCTTGGCCTTGGAAATATGTATGTTTTATGGGTGGAAGTGTGACAGCCAGGAACTGGCTTATTAAAATCTGCCTATTATCATAATTAACATGGTTTGCATGGCGGGGTTTTGGCATCCCCTTCCTCGAGGCTCCTGTTTTTATGGGCTCACTAATTTATGAGGCTGTAAATGAATAACTGTTCCAAATATGTATGTCTGCTGCTGTTAAGCAGGCCTTGGAGCTTCTCTCTCCCCTGGCCTGGAAATGGCCCCGTCCCTGAGGGCAGTGGTGCCCCTCACCTGGCAGCAGTTCGCACAGTCACTGGCACTGCCTGTTCACTTTGCCTCCCCAAAGTGGGCTTGAGGTGTCTCTTTCAGGATGCTTCAGTTTGCTTAGTACTGCCTTTTTTTACAGAGGGATGCAGTTGTTTCCTTAGCTCCCTATGCTTGGAGTTGGAGACTCGAAGTCCTTTGGGCTCAGTGTGTTGGCTTTGCTGCTGTCATACTGGGAGTTTGCTCGAGCACCATGTTTGATGCCCGAAATCCTCGTGCTGGGCAAATTGCTCCAAAAGCAGCAGGATGTTGTTGCATTATCACAAGCGGAGGGCCCTGCAGGAGGGCAGGCAGCCCGCTTGCAAGGCCAGGGCCTTGGCAAGCTGTTACGGTGCCAAGTCCACCACTGCTCTGCCAGCTGCAGGCAATTCACAGTATCTCCCTGAGCCTCGGTTTCTCCCATGTAAAACAGAGGGTATTTTACACACCATTGTAAAATACTTACAGATCTAGAAATAAAGTTAAACACTTTATTTCTATTAGCCTATTATCAACATGAGTCTATTATCAGCCTATGCTGCCATTGTGTGGCAGGTCTTGTCCCTGGCAGAAAGAAGCCAAAATTGAGGAGCCTTGGGCTCACAAGTAGAGGCTCACATTTGTGTCATGAATCATAGGCTGCTGCTGCTGGCTGAAGGGACTGAAGGGCTCACATGAGGAGCCTCAATGGCAGCTTTCCTTTATGAGGCAGGTGCTGCCACGGCCATGCTGCCCTGGTGGGAGGATGGCTCTGTCACCCTGGGTGAAAACCTGTCTTCCAGGGCAGCGCAAGGCTAGATGATTTGCCAAAGATCACTTCCTTGAATACCTCTTAGGACTTGTGTTTGCTCAGTGAGAGGTTGTCTCCCAGCGCTTGGGAATGACAGCGCGGTAGGTTTTTGGTAGTGTTGACAGGCGCCCCTGTTGTGTTGCATTGCTGAAGGTCGGGTAGCCAAGATGACTGAAGTTTTATAATGCAAACTGCAGCCTACTTTTAGGTTTGTATTTGCAGCATAGCAGTGCCAGGATTTTGGGGCAGTCTGAACATGAATCACTTAGAAATGAAGCTTTTGGAAGGATTCCTGGGAAGGAACAATCAAGTACTTCAGACACAGTAAAGCCCAGAGCAGGAGACCTTCTAGCACGGGCAGCAGAATGGGCCTAGTTCTCAACTGTTGTCCACCCTGGAGTTGTGACTATGTTTGCACATATATATGCATATCCTTATGTTGTATAGGACATAGCAATGTGCAAATCAGATTTCCATCCTTGCTTATGTATGTGGGCTGCAGTATTTTACACTCCTTTTGTAAGTAGTTCTCAAGCTGTGTAAGACTTGACTTAAAAAACCATGAAAACCTAGTTTTCATGAAAACCTACTGGGATAAAATGCATCTGTTTGACTATGCCGTAAGGCACCCTGTTATCCACCATGAAACACTCCTCTGCCCCTTGCCATCAGACACACTAGAATTTTTGGTGACTTTAAATAGCTGCTACAGGCATTTCTGTCCTTCTCTTCCAGATTTGTGCTGTCTGGAAATTTAGAACGTGCAACACGCAGCCATCGATCTCTGTCAAATGTGATAATAGCTATCCCGTGCCCCACAGTGCTGGAAGCTTTTCCTAGTGGGAGGATCCTGATATTGGATCTTGAGGCATGCCTTAGGTTGCAGATGCTCTCTCCTGTAAAGTCCAAGGCATTTGGCCTCCTACTATTAAGTAGCAGATCAAAGCATTGCTCCTTGCAGTGCTAATGAGTGCAAGGGAATAATACTACCCTATCTATCTGAAACGGGCAGGAGCTAGGACTGCAAATCAGGTTCTCCCTTGCATATCATGAAACACCTAGTTTTGGGCTGATAATGCGAAAAAAAACCCTTTAAACTTCTGGATTCTGGGCATCCTACATGGAGCTTTCTGAACAGCAAGGCTAAGCTGTCAAAAAATTGAAGAGCTAAACTAGATATCAGAGTTGAAACTTGAAGACAGCCTCTTCCAAAGTGCACAGCCACCTACTTCAACTCAACAGGTGGTACAAAATCTCTGTGTCCTGTCACATCACGAACCCTCTAGTCCTCATCCTTTCTCAAGTGATGGTTTACAGTTTTATTTCGTTCTTTGCTGTGAGCTTTGCTGCCTCTGGCCCGCTTGCCGAGGGGACAGCGCTTCCCCGCACGTGCGGCCGCGCGGCGGTTTCCTTTGCTGGGCTGCCGTGCACTTGCCTTGCTCTGGCGCGAGCTCCCGGGCGCCTGGTGGCTGCGGGCGATGCGCAAGGTGAGGCTCTCGCTCAGCTCCCTTTCATGCAGCCTAGCATGTTGTGAAGTGAGGGAGATGGTTCCTTTCCAAGCAGGTGCTGCTGGAGAAGGCCTCGGGTTTCTCCCTCTCTCATGAACACACTGTCCATCAGCCCTCCGGACAGCTTGCTAAGCACAGAGAACGCCCTGGTAGGGTGCAGTGAATAGAAAGACTTCTGCCCTGTTTTTGCTTTGTGACATGGAAAATAAAGCCGGCTCAGGAGGAGTGTGGAAGAAGCTTCCTAGTAGGAAATGTGCTTGGAAGGCTGAGGAACAGAGTCCCGGAGGCTCTGCTTCCCCCGTGGCCCAGGCTGCTCCGGTGCTCACTGTGTTTCACTATGTGCCCTTCTCCTTTGTGCTGCCTCTAGGGCTCTGCTGCACCTGTGCTGGGTGGTCACACCTTTTTTGACTTGATTTTTTTGTTGTTTTATTTTGTAATTTAGTGTTTCGACATGGTGCTAAAGTGCCAGCCTTACTGCCGCTCAATTTCTGTGAAGATCTGGTGACAGGGACGAAAAGGACTCTCTTGAATATATGTATTTTGAATTCATTATATTTAAATATTTTAAAATACACTTTCCTCTCATGGAAGGTTCTGAGTAGAAGGACTCAAACTGTGCGTTTTCACACTGCATGAACCTGCCTCCCCTGTTTTTACAGCCAGCTGGCATCCCTGCAGCTTCGCCAGGTGCTGCTGCAACTTGTCCCTGGTGCCGAGGTGCGGGAGCTGCCTGCATACTGGGACAGGGCTTGTGGGTCGGTGCTCCTTGCGTTATGGGTTCCTGTCCTGTTCGCAGCCTTGCCCTGCTTTCAGCTGCATGTGCCATCTGCTCCACAGCTCCAACAGCGAATGGCTGGTAATGCCGCTTTCCAAGTTCCTCTGAACACCTTGCTCCTGCTTCATTCACGGCACACCACGTCTTACTGTCATTTCTGTAGATATTAAGGGTGGATGGCTTGTTTTCTCCCTGTCAGCTCCTAATTGTGGCTTTTAGAGTGTGTATGTGTGTAGAGAGTGTGTGTCTTAGCTTTCCTGCTTTGGGCACAGCTATAGTGAATCCGTCTTTGTGCTCTGGGAAGACCTGTCTCAGTTCCTCTGGGCCTGTCTTTTCTTGTGACTATAGAAAAAGGTGTGTCCCAGCATGAAATTACTACATCTTGGGATTGTTTTTGGATGCTGTCCTAATTCTGGTCGGCACCGATGTCCAGCTTACAATAAATGATGTGAGCTGGGATGCCGATGGCCCGGCTAGCAGCAGCGTGAACCTTGGGCTCAGCTGGCTGCGGCCCTTTGCTCTGCCTCTCACCTCCTGGCCGTGCCAAGGGTGAAGAGAGAAGGCCTGGCCGGCAAAATCTGTGAACTGTAGGAAAGAGCTGAAATAAAAAATCAAACAAACAAACCCTGCCCTGCAAGAAGGAGAAACCAGCCAGGAAAAGGCTTGTTCTTTCTAACAATGTGACAGCCTCTTTTCGTTTTTCTCTCCCTCTCCCTGTCAAAGTGGGCTAAGGCCTGAGGCCTGCTCCACATCAGCGCGTCATGGTGGGCACTGTTAGCCAGGTCGCAAGAGGGAACTGGCGCTGGGCAGCTTGGGTGCCAAGGTGCTGCTGCTGGTGGTGCCTCGCGTGGCCCCGGCCCTGCTGGCTGTCCCACCCATCCTCCACACACCGCTGGATGGAGCAGGTTGCACTTTTGGCCTGATTCGGCCTTCTCTTCTGCTGGCCCCTGGTGCTTCCCTGCTTTTTGCTAGCTTGCTTTCAGCTGCCACGTTTGGGGCTTTCTCTCTGAGCTTGTATTGGACAGCCTGGTTACTTCTAGGTAATGCAGAAAATAATTGACTGGGTAGTGAGGGTTCTTGCAGATCCCCAAAGTCAAGGAAAGGTTCAAGGTGTTAATGGGTCTCTTCAGAGCACCTAGGGCTGGGTGCCTGAGCTAGCGGTAGTCCTGCTATGGCATGAGGGAGAGGGGCACTCAGTGGGCAGCTCTTCATGTCAGGAGCCTAGTATTGAGGAAGAATGGGAACCCTTTTATCCTTTTAAAGCTTTGTCTTTTAACAGCTGGAGAATGACTACTGACCGCATAGGAGAACTATGAAGGCAATGAAAGGGTACAATGAACGTATGTCCTACTGCAGGACAGCAATGAGACCTTAGAAACAAATGAGGATGGTTATAGCTCCTGTAAAAACACGATTCTGCCCAGTTTGAGCACGTACTCATGCCAGCATGGATTTGAGAGGATTCTAGCTGTTTTTAGTACTGGGCCATCAAGCCTGCATCTATAAACAAAACGACTTTGGTGCCCCGGTTTTGGGATGCTCGGTGTGGACAGGCGTTCGCTGCCCTGTGGCTTGCAGAGCAGCTTGTGAGCGCTGTGTTCTCCCTCTTGGCAAGGCAGCAGATCATCTCACCAGCGCTTGCGGAATGCAGGGCCAGCGGTCCTTGCTAAGGTGCCCTCCTGGCTTAGGGAAACGTGACTTGAAATATTTATTGTCATTTGTTTTGGCTTCACTCCTAACAATAAAGAAAAATAATAACAATAAAAAAGATACCGTTCATGCTGTAATCTTCCCTGTGTTTACTGGGGAGGAAATGGGTAGCAGTCCTTGTCTAATATTCAAGTATGTATTTGGCAAGACACTAGCAACTTTTTTCTTTTAAGAAACCAAAGAACAAGAATAGGTCAACTGCTGTAAGCAGAGCTGGCTGTTACTTGGCTTTGAAAACATCCTAGAATAGTTGTGATAAATGGGGCTGAGTCCAGTTGGAGGCCTGTGGCCAGTGGTGTCCCCCAGGGGTCAGTGCTGGGCCCGGTGCTGTTCAGCCTGTTCATCAGTGACCTGGACAAGGGCACAGAGGGCACCCTGAGCAAGTTTCCAGATGATCCCAAGCTGAGTGGAGTGGCTGACACTCCAGAGGGCTGTGCTGCCATCCAGAGGGACCTGGACAGGCTGGAGAGTTGGGCAGAGAGGAACCTCATGAGGTTCAGTAAGGACAAGTGCAGGGACCTGCACCTGGGGAAGAACAACCCCAGGCACCAGTACAGATTAGGGGCTGACCTGCTGGAGAGCAGCCCCGCAGAGAGGGACCTCGAGTCCTGGTTGACACCAAGCTGACCATGAGGCAGCAGTGTGCCCTCATGGCCAAGAAGGCCAATGGGATCCTGGCCTGCATGAGGAGGAGTGTTGCCAGCAGGTCAAGGGTGGTGATCCTGCCCCTCTCCTCAGCTCTGGTGAGGCCCCACCTGGAGTACTGGGGGCAGTTCTGGGCTCTCCAGTACAAGAGGGATGTGAAGCTGGTGGAGAGAGTCCAGCGCAGGGCTACGAGGATGATCAGATGCCTGGAACATCTGCCCTGTGAGGAAAGGCTGAGAGAGCTGGGCCTGTTCAGCCTGGAGAAGAGAAGGCTGAGGGGGGACCTGATCAGCGTGTATAAATACCTCAAGGGAGGGAGTGAGGAGGAGGGGGCCGGCCTCTTTTCAGTGGTGGCTACTGATAGAACTAAAGGGCCACAAACTGAAGCACCAGAAGTTCCACAGGAACTTAGGGAGAAATTTCTTAACATTGAGGGTGACAGAGCTCTGGCACAGGCTGCCCAGAGAGGTTGTGGACTCTCCTTCTCTGGAGATCTTCCAGACCCGCTTGGATGCAGCCCTGTGCCACATGCTCTAGGTGACCCTGCGTGTGCAGGGGGGTTGGATTAGATGACATCTGGACATCCCTTTCAACATGAACACTTCTATGACTCTATGATTCTATGAATGTAAAAAGCTGGGGCAAAACTTTTCTCAGTGGTAGCCAGTGACAGGACAAGGAGTAATGGGCAATAAATTAAAACACAGGAAATTGTATCTCCATGTGAGGAGGAGCTTCTTTCCTGTGAGGGTGGCAAAGCCCTTGAACAGGCTGCCCGGGGAGGTTGTGGAGTCTCCTTCTCTGTAAGTCTTCCAAACCCCCCCGGATGGCACCCTGTGCCCTGTACTCTGCGTGTCCCTGCTTGAGCAGGAGGTTTGAATTAGATGATCTCTCAAGGTCCCTTCCAACCTCAACCATTCTGTGATCCTGTGACCTGCTACCTGTAGGTAAAAGGTTACTCCAACCAATGTAGAAAATTCCTGGCACAGAGAAAAATAAATGACCCTATGTGCAGCAAGCTGCCGTTCTCCTGGCAGCAGGAAGGTAAGAGATGAAAGGTGCTTCCACCCATGCACCTCAGCTTCTTGATAAGAGATGCTGCTGTGTAAGGGCCCTTTTTCTGTAGTGATATGATAGCCCATGGTCATGATTCCCTTTAACACAACACACTGAATTTGTTCAGCAGTGCAGGTTTGTGCTGATCCTTACATACTGCAGTTGAAACCTGCAATTCAGAGTGATATGAAGCAGGGTAGCAGGCTCAAAGGCTGGTTTACAGCATTTTACATGCTAGAAAAGCAGCACTTTCTCAGAAGCTTTCAGGGGAGGTGGTGCTGCAGAAAGTTAGCGTTCCTCTATACAGCGCCTCTCATCCACGTTCCCAAAGCACAGCATAACCACAGACTGAGCTGCAGAAACAGCTTGGTTTGCTTTAGAGCAACAATCTGGGCCTGAGGGCCATGCAGTCCTCCAGGGGCTTAGTTCAAAGGGACAGCGCTCAGTTGTTGGTCTAAGTTGATATATTATGAACACAGTTCTAGCAGAATTCCCACCTGTGTTTTTATATTTCTAAGAATACTTCTGGATAGTATAGTATCATAACAGTGCTTCAGTAACTCCACTTCTATCTTAAATGGCAATTTTGCTTTAAGAACAAATGCCGGGTAAGCTGGTTTTACTCAAGGTATAGCCATCTAATTAAAATATCAAGGTAAGTGAGCTTTGTTCTTATAAACAAATTATTATTATTTATTTAAAAAAAAAAACAACTTGTGTCCCCAGGAGAAGGAGCAGGCCCTGCTCTGGGCTTTTGAAACCACCACTCACTGGTAACCAACAGTGTAAATCCTGAAAGTGGAAGGAGTAGCTAGCAGCTGTGGGTGCAGTCACTAAGAACTCTATAATTTCCACCTTTCTTCTCTATTACTCCCACTTTCACCAAAAAATCAGCTACCATAGTATGTGCTGGGAGGAGTTACCCTCTTCTCTGTCCCCTCCCATTTAGGCACCTAATTATGAGTGTGGCCTTAAGAGCATGGAGAGCAGTTCCCACCAATGCCACTTAATGAAATGAAATGCCAACGAGCAGCACGTGACAAATTTCAGTGACCGCGCATCACCCTCCAGTTGTGCCAGGAGGTGATTTGGCTGGTCTCTGCTCAGAGCTACCTGCTGGCAGTGCTGAGACCACCGAGGGGCCACTCGGCAAAGAGCAGGACGAGTTCTGCAAAGCAGATGAAGGAGCAGAAGCTAAGCCTAGGGTGGCACTAGGTGCTTTAAGACAGCAAGGATTTCATACAAAAGCAGTAGTAAAGGGGAACGTGAGAGAATAATTAGAGCAGCTCAGTTATTAGGTGGCGAGAGAGGGGGCCGATAATAAGCTCTGTTTAGCTACGTGGTTCTTGCTTTACTGTGCAATGGCTGCAAACTTTTTATTTCATAGCTAGTACCGCTTGGCAGTAGAAAGGAGGCTCGTTGTGTGTGCAGTATCAGACAGTTCTGCCTCTGACAGCAGCTGCAGGTTATGCATTTCCCACTGCAGGGTAGTGCTTTCAAATTCCCTAGGGCTTCCACTGCTGCAGCTGGCTTTGAAGATGACATTACACAAACCTGTAGACTTTGCTATCCCAAGATCTAACCTTTAAAAGCTGTTTTCAGAAGGAGTAACCGATGGGCAGATGGGCATTAGGAGGTCGCCAAGTGCTCCACCCAGGCACCATCAGCACCTTATTGGAATGATCTCATTGAACTAAGAAGTGTGGGAGGCAACACGCACACACCTTTCACCTCAGGTAAGGTAAGCAATTTGAAATACTTGCACAGCTGTCTTGCAAACCTATTTATGCACCTGGGAATAATACGACTGTTACCTTATGAAACTGTCCAGTAGTAAGACAAATTGTAAAATGTTAATGCAAAAAAGTGCAGGCCAGCAAGCTGCCCAGAAGCAGGCCCATCTGCAGAAGATAACACTCCACAGGGACGATTCACCAGGCCCCCAGGCGGTGGGTCCCATTGCAGATAGGTAACACATACTCCACAGCCAGAGGCAAAGAGGCTCCTTTCCTCAGCTCTTCTATATAAACAGGTACCACGTCTGATTTTATTTCATCATAACATACAGGTAATGCTCAGGACACAACAAGATGAGAAACTCGCATCTCTCCGAACCATTTAACCAGCTTGCCATACACCAAAGAACGTTATATTCATATTGAACATGTACACCTTTCTCCCCCTCCCATCCTCCACTTTGCTTTCCAAATGTCTGAAAACCATTTCCAGCCTTGGTTAGGGCCAGGACGCTAGTTTGGGACGGAAGCAGGGTACGCCCTGCCCAGGATCTGGGCGCAAGGCTTCCTCCTGCCCCGGCCCCCGGCACGCCAAGCCTCAGCTCCCACCCGGTCAGTGACAGTGCAGCACGTTGGGAAGCACGGGGAGCCCAAAGACCAGAATTCAGTTCCCCAGAAAGAGATTAAACAAACCAAGCCTCAGCAGACACGTTTGTGTGTGTGTGTTTACACACTTAGCGTGCACGCGCACAAGAGGGGGGAAGAACACACTCATGAATGAGCGTGAAACCCAGGAAGATGGTTTCTGCCTGCAGGGATTTGTGCGGTTTTTCCCCCCATTAACCAATTCTAATCAAAGAAAGACATGGGCTTTAACTGAAATCTGGCTGAGAGGAGCACTGCTAAATGGTTTACATGTGTATATACACACACACAGTGTGTGTATATGCTGAAAATGGTTGTAATGTAATCACTATCACTTGGTATGTAAACATAGACAAGTGGCCCTACGTTTAATGGATAGCCAAGACCTGACATACTTTACAGGGTGGTGTCAACCTATCCCTGGTCCAGACTAGCCCTTCTTCTGGCATTTCATACACACGTCACGAACACAGCCTCTGGGTGCAATTACTCCTCTTGCTGCCTCTCTGTGCGTCTCTTGCACGTCTTCGGATCAAGTTAATCACTGCTGTAGCTTTCAGTGCTCTTTTAAGCAGTCCATCGTAGGAAATTAAGTCACATCCTAGCCACAAAACAAATAATAATAAAAAAAAAGACAAAATCTTCTCTGATTTTCAATATAGTAACACCTGAGATTTGAGTCACAAACTAGCTAAATTTATATTTTTAAAAACAAGAAGGAAAAAAGAAAAAGCACTGCTGACTTGAACTGGGGATTCAGTTCAGTGACCCCCGCACTGACAATATTTCTTTCCTAAAAGCTGTTGGCCAGAGACAAGCGTGTTACATTTGATGTACAATTTTCAGCTGCCTGCACCTTTGCACTGGTGCAAGGCACAGAGGCTGAAGCCCCGGCTCCCACCGCGCGCACACTGGGAAGAGGCTCCCGCGCGCAGCCCGGCCCCGCTGCTGCTCCCCACTTCCTCAGCCTCTTGCGGCAACGGGAAGAGCGGCAGCCAACGTACCGTAGGAATCACAAGCTGGAGGGAAAGCAGCTGCTTCGCCATCAAGGATGCAGAAACGGGGGTGCCTGATCTCCCCCCAAACATCCCTGCTGCCCGCAGGGATCGGCACCTCCAAGAGCCGGCAGGGCCCTGGCTTGGACAGGCCAGGAAGGGGCAGGGGCCGCAGCCAAACCGCGGCACCTGGGGACACGGAGGCTCCGCATGGGGACAGAGCCAAGTGCCCTGCAGCCACTTGTGCCAACAGGGAGCATCCTGGCTGCCCCTCTTCTAGGAGGCAGCAACTGGAGCTGTATGTGAGGAGCAGCTCCTTAATGTTCTTACTCATCCCACCAAGCCCTACTATTAATTGCAGAAGAAAAAAAAAAAAAAGACTCCAAAATTAATCTACTGAATTGTCAATTAGCAAAGAGGAGAAAAAAAAAAAAAAAAAGATTTTGCAGTTTTCTGATCATCCACTTATGTTTTGCACATAGCCCTAATTATTAACCAGTCCATTAGAAGCTAACATAGCTATCCCTCTCCCAGAAGCCAGCTTAGTAATCCAATATCAGAAATACAAATCCTGCTTATTTAATAATTAAAGACTGGGGGAAATAGTCATAAGTCTGTTGCACTTGTCTTCTATAAGAAAAACTGCTAAGTTGTGCGTAGACAGCTTACAAAAAACAATAAATCAGATGTGGCTAGTTGTTACTTGTTCACATTGCTTATGAACTGGCTACCAGCATCTGGCAGCCATAAAGCCCTAAGTTTATTTTTTATATTTTTGAGGTACTGGTTTTTCTCTGAAGCAGCTCTCTAGCAAATCACCTAAAGCCTACCCATTAGAACAATAGTTACACCAGTATTTACAAGTTGTCTGAACCCTGCTTTCAGACCAGCCTTGCTGTAACCAGTCCCCGCTTCCTTTGGCCTTGCATCTCCCTTCTTGCAGGAGAAAGGTCTCCCTCCAGAGGATGGCTCAGTGTCAGGGCGAAGGTGCGCTGCAGAACACTCGGGGCACGGGGAGGGGAGAAGCAAAGTCGCTTTGATGGGGAGAAGCGTGTCGCGGGAACCACAGAAACGTTCTGACCCCAGGACAGCCTCCCGTTAGAAACATTGAGAGGGTGTGCAATCCATTGCATATAACTGCTTCATCTGCCAGGGAAAACTTTTGAAATGCCCTACCCTTCTCCAGGAAAGGGGAGGGGAAGCCCCCACCAGCATGCCTGGTCTCCTTCTGCAGATGCTCACTTGCCATTTCTTTGCTGTGTTCATCCAGTCATTGCATTCACACTGAAACCCCACATTTCCCCTTCTGACACCCCCCACGCTGTCCACACACACACACTTTTTGTATAAAGTTTGTTCTTTTCAGATTTACAGGGAACTCCTGAACTCCGGGGGTGCATCCTGGAACCGGGGTGGGCGGACTCAATACAGCCACACAAGTCTGCCACTTCAAGACACTTCGATGATTTCCATGCTGCCCGAAAAGCTCGACTGACTGCCCACTTTCCCCAGTTCCTCTCTGGACCTGTTGTCCGACATGATGCCCTCCCCGAACTCCATCTGGCAGCTCCGGCGCTTAAACTGCTTTTCAAAGGAGCTTTCCTCGTGCCAGCTGCGCCGGGAGTCCCCCCGATCGCCCTGCTTGGGCCTCCTGCGCACAGCAGAGCCCTGCTCGCAGCCCGTGGGCAGCTGGCTGCAGCTGTAGGCCGAGTAAGCCGTGCTGCTCCCGTAGATGGCGGAGGCAGAGTAGAAGCGCGAGGACTCGGCTGCAAAATACCAGCTGTTGGTGAGGGAAGCGGCGGAGGCCTGAGGAGCCAAGATGTCCGAGTGCCAGCCCTTGAGGCCCAGCCCCGCCGCCGACTTGGCCAGGTGCTGCTGGCTCGTGGAGAGCCCGAAGAGGAAGTTTGTTCGGTAGGTGTCTTCCACGCTGCCGCTGCGGTGCAGCGGGTAGAGGAGCGGCCGTGGCGCGGCGCCGCCGCCGGCTCTGCCCGCGTGCGGCCGCTTGCTCTGGCTCTCCAGCGGCCAGGGGCCCGGCGGCTCCTCGGCGGGGGCTGCGTCCTCTTTATCGGGGCTGCTTTCTGGCGTCTGCTCCGAGACCTCCTGGACAGGGGAGAACTGGCACAACTTGCTGCCGCCATCTAGAGCGGCCGCGTGCTTGTAGTACTCCAGGGTGTCGTCAGAGGAGGCAAAACCCTGAACGGATGCAGTCACACAGTTGCTGCTTGCCGAGTAGGACACTGATTTGATATCCAAAGAAAAGGAGCGCTTCAGCCGGTTGCTGTCCTCCACCTTATCCACGGACACATGGAGTCCGTTGATGCCCTGCACCAGCGGGGCGTCTTCCAAGGACGGCAAGCGCGTGCCCGGCACGCTCCCCGAGTCCGCTGACTTCTGCTCCACAGTCTCGGAGGTAGCGGCAACGCAGAGCTGGCCGGTGGGGAGGCTGCTCTGCCCTCCTTCTGGCACCAGGACGTGCTCGCTGCCCTTTTCCAAGTGCAGCAGCTTCAGCTTGCTAATATGGCCAGGCTGGCCACTCGGGCTCTTGATCTTCTTCTCAAAGTCCAAAAGCTGGCCCAGAAAGTTGAAGTTGGGAGAAATGGTTGGCCTTTTTTCTTTCACAAATCTGAAAAGAGTGGAAAAACAAAACACAAATTCCTTTTAAAATTTGCTGCTGAGACCTAATATTCACAAGCACCCCATGGCTTAATGGTCTAATTTTAACGTGCCAAGATAGCTGCATTGATTCAGCCAAGCACAGGGAACTTACAGATGAGGGGAGCAGGATGATGCCAGGTGTTCTCAGTTCTTTACAGTTTACTTTAAAATGGCTAAGAGAGAAAAAAATGTTCTTTTTTCTTTTTCCTCCTCTGATGTCTGTAGTGAGGTTCAAAGGAATCATTTTTTTGTTTTACCTTATCAGCTTATCCCCACTAACCTTAGTTAGACCAGTTTTAGGAGCATCTCAGGTTCTTCATGAATCGCGCTGGAGCTCTAGCCTCCAGTCCTACAGAAAACAGGCTACCTAACCCACCATACAAAGAGGGCAGAAAATCCATAGTCCTTTCACGCTTCTCTTTCATGCTGTTACTTTTGAGGTTAGTGCTTTCTGTCCTTTAGGTAGTCCTTGCACAGCAACTGTCAATATCTATCTGGTATCTACTGATAGGAATACTGATAATGATTGCAAACTAAAGCAAAACAAACAAATAAACCAACTAACCAACCAAACAAAAAAACTCACAAAACTGAACACCTCCACAGAGAAGAGCAAAGGCTGCTCTAAATAAGTTAGTTCTCTCCAGCTCCGGAGGTGTTTAAACCAGATAAGTAGAAAAGAGAGAATTAAGTACTGAAGGAAACAGCAGATAAAGTGTACTTCCTGAGACCTTTCACTGCAAGTAATGTTCAGTTTTACCCTTCCATTTTTGAACAAAAACAAACAGTGTCAAACAAATATTTTTTCTAATGCCTTTCATTAGCTCAGAAAAAAAAAAAAAAATTCTCCCAAGCTTTGCCAACAGAAGATCCTAAACTAAACTAATGAGTGATAAGGACCATTTTCACAATAAGTTGTATTCAAAAAAAAAATATATATATATATATATCAAAATATAATCTGGATTTCACAAGAGTTGTTTGGCACCTACCATACAAAGAAAAGAGCCCAAGGATGATTAATACTTCACACTCAATTCAGGTTTGGTTAAGAGACAAACTAGAATTTAATGCAAAGATGTAATGCACAATTTTAGAAGACACTCTTCTTGTATATAAATAACAATTTCTTTTAACCCATTCACTTAAATGTGGGTCTTTTAGAAGTGTTCATTATTTCATAGCCTTATTCCCCAGACATCTGGAGGCCGAACTCACATGGTCTGTTCAGTGAATCAAGCTAAGCCACTGCACATTATTCACCCATATCCATTCCTGCAGTTATATCGTCTATACAGTCATTTCCTGCATAGCTGTGAATTTTCATCTATGCCTCTCATTTAAGCTGGTGTCACTCTACCTGCTGAAACTACCAGAGAAAACTGTGAGCAAGTACTACTAATAGACTACAGAGGATGTCTAAAGTGAGAGATGTTTACATCTCGGGTATTACTTACACTTTGTTTCCTATGCAGATATAATTATAGTCATTTCTCAACTTAAAAACAAATGTCCCATAAAACAGAACATCACATGCCCTTTGTCCTGTAAAGTGAGTGTTTTACAGACAGGAGTAAGCAGGCGCTACAGATTTTGAAGGTATTCCTCTCACTTTGCTCCACTTCAACTGTTCAAATTGCCTCTGAACTATGTGTATTATAGAGACACATCAGCCCGTGTCTTATTACAGAATTAGTCTGTAATTCCCAGCTCGAAGTAGCCAACAGTAAAGGGCAAGATGGGAACTAAAAGCAGCGTCTCAGAGAAACTCAGAAGTCACAATAAACTGCAGTTGAGTTACCTGGAATGTACCGAAGTCTTTACAATCCAGCTACATCAATAGTGCAATTGCAAAGGTAAAACACCTTTATTGTTGTTGTTTTGGTTTTACAAAACATGATGCTGTAAACAGCTGATTGCAAATCAGCTTGCAAATACTTTATTTCCAAGACTTTTTGGTTGAGTTTACCGTCAAAAATAAAGCTTTAAAAAAAAAAAAATCCTAGACAACATTGCACCAGAAGGTCCTTCTTTGAGAACATTATCAACTACCGACTTGAAGTTAATAGACCCTGTCTAGCCTTGGCCATAAGCCTGATTATAAATATCCTCAGTTCTTCCTTCATCTTCCTCCTTCATTCCTTTCTCTCTTGGGCTTGCAAGATATTCTCATGTGCTATATTTTAGTTAGCTATCTATATAAATAGACATATACACGCACATATGCATACATTTATGTAGACACATTAATGCACGTGTATACAGTGTAACACACACCTAAACACACTTACATGTGTATGTGTATATATTTGTATGTATTTTTTAAAGCAATTACCACAGTTTAAATACAGTTTAAAGTAGTTCAAAAAATTAAAATTTAATAATACCGTTTAAATATATTTGCCTACCCAGAGCAGAGAGCAGCATCACCATTCTGCAGGTGCAGAACTAGCATTAGGTGCTCAATATCTGCATTCAACTGCTAATTTGTTTATGGAGAAGCCTATGTTGAAAGTAACACTCCTTGGAAAGCCATTGACTACAAGATAAAATAATGGGTCTGCTTCTTCCCTTGTTTCATAAAATCATGTATCATTCACCTTAAAAGCAAGCTGAGAGGCACAAGAAATAGTGTCTTGGGAGAATGGAAGTTTTGTGCTTACCTGTAAGCTTCATCTAAGGACATATCCATTCTCTTCATGATGTATGCAATAGCAATTGTGGCAGAGCGCGATATTCCAGCCAAGCAGTGCACCAACACACATCCATTCGATGCTTTTGCTTTTTCTGCATAGCAAAGGGGTGGTCAAGTGTCAATCTCAGTAGCACTGCAGCATGATGAAGAGTTTGCAAAACCACCCACTGTTTATAAAGTTGTTAAAACTTGCACATTAATCGTTATTGTGGCTCCCTTGGAAGCTTTTAGCACAATATACTTATTTTCTCTTTCCTGCATGGAATTTTTTAAAGAAAATAGTACGTGACTACATGTACAGCTGCAGGAAATGCTTTATTTATAGCATACTACACCTACTTCGACATGCATGTAAGCAATCACACGTAGAAACTGGAAAAGACAATTGTTTCATCACGAATACTTACATTTATGTGCATATAAAATTAGAAACAACTTAGCCAGTTCATGTCTCTGGTTACTGCTCAAAGCTAAGGACAAGACTTGTGTACGAGTAATTTTCTAACGTAGTCTATGCCAGATATTTCCCCAGACTGCCAGAAAGTTCAGTGGGATTCCTAAGAAGTGTCTTTGTTCCAGAAGTGCTGGATCACACAGTGACAGAATCTTCCTGTCATGCCTTATAAAGTGATGGTGGTCATATGCTTAGACCCTTATGATATTTTCATACCACTCAAAAAGAACTCAGGACTCCTGCAGCTAAAGCAGGAGACAAACACATAAAAGAGCTGCAAGAGAGAGACAACCTCATGTTTCTTCTTACCTATAAAATCCACTGATTTATCCAACCACGGCAAGATTTTCTCACAAAAACTGTCATTCACAGGCACTCTCAGGAAATGGGACTCTGGAATAAAATCAGGCTTTGGACAAGTATTGCTGGCGTTCAGTACGTAGCCAATATCATTCTGCTGCATCAGCTCCTATGGAGGAGATAAAGGTTAAGACTAGAGAGGTCAAATGACACCTTGGCACATTACAAGAAATCATAAATGAAAAACCATGATAAAGCTAAAAACTGAACTGGAATTTGTATTTCCATTGTTCTAGCTGTTTTAATGACATTCTCTTTTGAAAAAGATTACTCCTAAGCTTTTGAGTCTTCAAACAACCTTTAATGAATATCCAGTGCATCCAAATAACATACAGACTGCAGAGTCCATAAAAACAAAGCTAACAAAGAAGAGAGGTAATGGTAAACTTCTCTTGGTATGAATCATCATTTCCAAGAGAGGCTGGGTTTGTTTTGCTTTGTTTTTTTTTGTTTCTCCTCCTTGCTTTAAAATCCTTACCTGGCAAAAAGACATGCCCAACCACTTCCCACAGGTGGTTTGCTTACCTGAATACCAGTACAAAAATATACTAGTGAAGTGAAATGGTTAATTCTTTCAAATATTTATTTTTCCTGCCCCATATTCGCTTGCAGAGGGTACTGTATAAAACAGCCCTACTGTACTACTACAATTCTCAGCAGCACTTGTAAATAGGGAATCTGCATGAATCTCTTCTTGCAAGTTGAATTTGCTCCGGACAACAAAAACAAACCCTGTCTTTAAGAGCTTCTCCAAGCTTTCATCCCAAATCCCTCACAACGGCACATTCAGAGGTGCCAGGGACCTGGTCACTTTAACCGACTGCATGCACATTTTCTGCAGAAAGGTGACCAATTGCTTTTAAAGCAAATAAAAGATAAATCATAACAATCTTCAAAATAAGAGCTGCATGCAGCAAATTAAGTTCTCGGCATTACTCCTTCTTACCCTACTAGTTTTCTTGATGATGCTCCCACCACAGCTCAGCTCCTGTTCCCAACAAGCTCAGGTTCCCCTATCGCCAATTCCCCCCCATTTCTTATGTTTGCCCCTCCCCAGTTCAGGCCACCTTCAGACCCACGTGCTTCTTGCAGCCTAAGACTTCACCTCTCCCATTACCGCATCTAGCTACTACAGACCCATTCACCCGCCAAAGTTTAAAACCCCTTGAAGTTTAAACAGAGTGCTGTAAGGAAGCAAGGGTGGACTTGGGACTATCCAGAAAGGACAAGTACTGACGCAGGCGACTGGACCAAATCTGACCAGTATCCGACCACTAGACCAGTATCGAACCAGTGCAAGGGAATTTGCCAGTCTCCAGCATCCACACCTCCCTGTTCTGAATCCCTGCCTTGAAAAGCAGTGTGAGCCAAACTACTCAACAGCAACTTCCATGAAATAAATACCTACTTCAGATTATTAGGCTGAAAAAAAAAAAAATGAGTGCAGAAACGAGGAGACACGTGCAGAATCATGAACAATATTAGGTGTCCAAGCCACACGAACTCCACTGTTGGCAGTGCCAACATTGCTGTCGCACGGAGCTCCACAACACACGTTTGTTCAGACTATAGCACATATTAGCTCTAAGGGGTGCTGAGAGGCTGATGCATTTAGAAGAATAGAAAAGCTGCCTTTTTTTTTTTTTTTTTTTTTTTTTAAGAGCATAAGTGCTGGTGGCCTGCACAGTCCAACCATCACAATTCCACAGTTATGTAAGATTTTTGATGTGGAATTGATTGTCCAAATGGGAATTGGACGGTTGCAGACGCCAAGTCTGAAATCCCCGAGCCAAAAAAACACCCAAAAATGTGTTAGTGCTTGACTTTGAGAGCAAGGCTAAATAAAAAAGTTATGATTCCTTCTCTTCTGAGGTATCAATCATTCCCTGTGCAGCACACTAATATAATAACCATAACAGTGACTTCATTGTAAGGTACCCAAGAGGAAGAAGTGAATTATGATGGAAGGAAGATCCAGAAATCCTAATGCTAACAACTTTGTGAAAAGAAGGTAAATGCTCTTTTGTCAGCTTATTTACATTTTATGACTTGTTTAATCCTAAAATTAATGGCACCCTCACCCTAAAATGTTATTTTGTTCCAGGAAATAAAATCCAGGTCTGAGAGGGAAGAGAAAAAAAGAGTTAAGTAGTAAAGCAGAAAGTTCTACAGCTCAAATGCTGCTGCAAAATGTGAGATACAAGCAGGAGAGGCACTTGGGCCCATAGCCACCACACTGAGATGGTTTTCGTTATGGTCTCCTTCAGAAAGGACACTTTCCGTCCCATATAGGTCAGAACTTAGTCCACCTTTCTTTGACAAATCTGAAAATCAAAGATGTACCCTCAAAGTAAGCACCCTCTTACAATGGTGTTTGATATTAGTAACCATCACAGTATTACAGTAAAAACTGCAAGAGTGCAACCAACTCTTCTCTTAGCCAAATAGAGTAAAATAAAATCGGAAATGGTGAAAAAAGTCCACGTTTTGCAAACATGCACCTTTAGGTAAAGCAGCACTGCTGATCACCAGATTATTAAAGAACCCATGGAGGAAAAAGAATTGAATTGAAAAATTATAAATATTTCAAGATCAAGTATTTAAAAAGAAATTTGCAAAGCAATAATATAAAATACCTCTAAGACTTTTTCAAAGTAATCATAGTTTCACTAGAGAAATTAACTAGAACACTCATGTTTGCACATGTTTCATACACAAAATGTTATCAGCAGAGGTAGAAATGGCCAATGGCATAAATATTCATGAAAGATCATGAATGCCGACCTTCCTGCAAGCACACAAATCTTTTATCACCCGCCACTGCCCCTGCACTCGGAGATGAGCCTACGGAGATCCTGAAAAGATTAGCCCCTCCTCATAAACCACGCTGAAAATCCACCTCTTTCAGTGGTGGGTTGAACTGTATTGCTGATGAATAGCTCTTTTCCCAAGATATTTTTGAAATATTTAGGTTTTTCCTATTGACTGAATCTATTTTCTAAAATAAGGATATCCTACAGAAAGCACGTGACGGCAAAACATAAAGTCAACATACATAATTACCTTTTATAGTTTGGGATAGTTTTTCTGAAAAATTCCAGCAAGTTATTAAAAAATAATAATAATAAAAAAAGACCTTGAACAAAAAGCCCATTCTAATCTTAACAGCAGTCATCCTTAGTAACTGGAAATGCAGCAAGGCCACTGAACCAGAGCATGCAAACTTAACTGCTTACCATCTTCCTGATTATTGCAGCCCTTCTACTTATCACTCAGTTCTGTTTCTGGTCCTCTTGAATATTCTGCACTTCCCAACATTTTTTTTTTTTTTATATACTAGTGAGAAAAATCCTCCTTTCCTTCCCCCAGTACCCCCATGGAAGATCCAGGCATCCCAAGCAGCACAGTGTGTGAAACAGAGAGCAGTGTAAATGGTGAGGTGGCTGCTCGCATCCCTGCCCTTTGAAATTCTAGCCCTCTGACCTCCAGCTATAGTCAACATTGAGATGAAACAAGAAACTGCTTAATAATAGGAAATTGGGAGTTGTCAATAGCTGGGAAAGCATCAAGTGATGCTAAGTGATTCCTCCCTAAGAGGCAGGAATCTTTAAGTGTTCCCCACAGTTTCTTTAAAGCTAATAAAGGAACCAATATTTACAATAGAAACCATTTCAGACTTTCCGTAGGCAATCACCCAAACTGAAGGAATCACAAAGTTACTGAGACATGAAGCTTTATCTCAGTGTAGTGAACAAGTAACATTTTTAGATTAGTGCACTGTCTGCTGTTGGCTCAAAGGAAGAGAAAAAAGTTGAGAGACAAGCAGCTCTGAAATCACAGCATGTATATTTGCCTTGAGAATGGTTAAGAAACCAAAGTGGTCCTTTACTATCTGTGGCAGAATTTCCAAAGATTGACCATTAAGGATAACATCAGGAGATAAGATTTGATGAAATTTTCTGTTGATTATAGGCTATTATTTTTGTGGTTCTCCAAGGGAAACCAGAAATAGTAATCTTTGATCATAACTCCTCAGAATAGGTGATGAAGTACAGAATTTGATCAGCTCCCAAGAATCCTACATTTATTCCTAATTATCAGCAAGCGCAGGGCTCCTGATACATACTGAAATAAGATCAAGACTGTAAATTAGGAGGCAAGAGAGACGTCACCAGTTGGGAACTTTTCCTGCTCTGCCACACGCACGGCTTACCAGCAGCAGTTGTGTTTAGGGACTCCTCCATGCCTATAATCAAACTCCTGACCACGGCTGCCACTTGGATTCTTCTCCTCCCTCTACTTGTGCATAACATCCATTCACAGGCATCAATTTACTGCCCGTAGGATGAAGAGACTCTTTCATCCCTTTGGGATAGTCATTGCTTAAGGAGCCACAACAAATGGACAGCAACAGCGTGGAGTTCAAGGCACATCCCAAATAAAGTTTGGGATTGCCTTGGCCCTGGAGGGGTGTAAAGGATCCCCACTCCTCCCTCCCCATCAATCTCTTGTGACTAAGGATAGCACCATTCACATACTAGAAACAAACAGTAACAATAAGCATCTTTCTAATAATCTACTATTTAGAGCAAGGATTTTTTTTAAAGTTATTTCCTCACTTCTTTTGTCTTGGAACCACAAGTTTATTACCACATTGCAGCAATAAGCTGCTCTGACATCCACTGTAAATGAATCAAGCCTAAATTTCTGACTTGTTATCCAGCAACAAAGATGTGGGAGATTTTAAAGTATGAAATAAATACTAAGGCTATAGACTGCCTTCCCCAGCAGCAGACTTCCCTTCAAATACTGTTAAAGTGCGATCATCCTCCTGTAGATCACTTGCATATCAAAGACAGCATTAAAACAATTGTGAAAAATCCAGAAATTGCCTATTAAGGATGAGACTGCAATGGAGTGAAGAATAGAAAAAATATACAAAAATTATTATTGCAAAGCAAATGCATTTGATGCGATTTCAGGTCTACTAAGGTCTAAACTTTATTAAGGTATATATATGGATTTAAAAAAAAAAAAACCCACACCCATCCCCAAACACAATGAAGGCAACACTTCAGGTAAAAGAATTCCTTGTACCCCTCACGTCCTGCCCCAATATGTATAGAATCATAGAATCATAGAATCAGAGAATCAGAGAATCATAGAATGCCGAAGGTTGGAAGGGACCTCAGAGGTCATCGAGTCCAACCCCCCTGCTCACGCAAGGTCACCTAGAGCACGTGGCACAGGGCTGCATCCAAGCGGGTTTTAAAGATCTCCAAAGAAGGAGACTCCACAACCTCTCTGGGCAGCCTGTTCCAGTGCTTTGTCACCCTCACAGTGA